AACATCAGAGGAATGAAGGAATATGGAACAGCCTTCCAAGGGGAGCAGTGGGGGAAAAAGTCTAACTACCTTCAAGACTGAGCTTGGTAAGTTTAAGGAGGGGACTATATAATGGGACTGCCTACAATAGCATGTGACCCGTCGGGGACTGCTAGGAGCAAAAATCCCAAATGGCTGCCGACAGGACACTAGATGGGGAGAGCTCTGAATTATTACAGAGAATTCTTCCCCAGGTACCTGCCTGGTAGGTCTTGCCCACATGTTCAGGGTCTGATTGCCATATTTGGGGTTGGGAAGGAATTTTTCCCCAGATCAGACTGGCAGAGATGGTGGTGGTTTTTCATCTTCCTCTGCAGCACAGCACAGGGTCACATGCAGGTTTAAACTAGTGTAAATGGTGAATTTTCTGTAACTTGAAGAGTTTAAACCATGATTTGAGGATTTCAGTAACTTAGTCAGAGGTTAAGGGTCTATTTCAGGAGTGGGTGGGTGAGGTTCTGTGGCTGGCAACATGCAGGTGGTCAGATTAGATGATCACGATGGTCCCAGTCTATGAAAGATCCCCTTTGACACTAATGAGCTTTGGATCAGGCACTAAGGTTGCACAGGCAACTTTAATGCTAGCATTTCCTTATTTTTTGAGTGCTTGATTTTATGGTCTTAATACTACATCTTTTAACCTAGTTTTTGCAGATAATTAACTACAAAAATTGAAAACTAAGTTCTGTTGTGCAGAACTATACTGTTCTACCCCCCATGGGTCATCAGCAGGGTTTAAACCCAGGACTTCCAGATCCACAGCACAGACCTCTACAGCTTGAGTTAAAAGAGAAACTGATCGAAGTAGAAGATTTATCCTCTGCGGAGCAGCTACGATAGAAGTATGAACACACATAGCCAGCAGTTCACACACTATTTGCTAGACAGCAGTGGAATACTGGGACTCAGAACTCCTCAGTTCTATTCCTGGCTCTGGAGAGTCTAATTGCTACAAACAGCACAATCTAACACACAGTTAGCATATGCATTTTGAAAGATAGTGCAGTGGTGGCTGAGACTTGAGTCTGATATACCAGTTCTACCTGAACTGGACTTGTGCAACCTTCTGGTTATCCCATCTGTGAAAAGGGAACAATGTGTGCCTTCCTCCTCAGGGAAGCATGTGGAGCCTTGCTCAGTAACAAGGTCTGTAAGTCCACAGTATTAATACCATTCTCACCTTGGGTTCTATCTCACCACTCCTTTGCCTAGGCCAAAGGGGTGGCTGTTGCATCCCTCTGAAGTTCTAATTCTGTAGGGCATGGGAACATACCCAGAGCAGATGGAAAGTCAATAAGACCCAAGAGTATTGTCAGTCAGAATGCAGGAAGGTGTGTGGGGCCTGGTAGCGTCTTCAGTACAGATGCAATGTTCAGAGATTTTAGTAGCAAGCTTCTAACAGGCTCTATGGGGCACATCCAAATATTGTTCAAAGACTTGTAACTTGGCCAAAGCTTGGTGGATTTTCACAGCTACAGGAAAAGGCATCTCTGACTTCAGAACAACACCTCTGATTAATTTTGAATTCCTGCTCCAATCCACGGAAGCAGTGGAACTTTTCAAAGAAAAGGGGGAGGGGGAGGGGAGAAAAAGTCAACTCTCTATTCTTCCTCACTTCATCCGTCCAAGTGGTTAAGTTGGGTTGCTGATGCTTACCAGAAAAATTCAGCATGAGACAGAGACCAAGCATAGAACAGTTAAAGTTAATAGTTAAAGTTAGGCAAAGATATACGCAACTAAAAACAGAAGCTTATTTTAAGAAGTGTTACGTCATACCTATAGAACCTGCTACTAAGTCCATAAAGATTAATGTTTTATTATTAGTATTTTACACCTGTATTCACTTTTCATCCAGATATTCAAAGCACAAAGAAAAATATCCTCATTTTTACAGATTGAGAAATTGAGGCTGAGATATTTACCAAATTTACCATTGCAGCCACTGATTTTAGTTGCCTAAATCTAAGACATTTTGGGCCTAATTTTGAGACATGTTGACCACTTGCAGTTATCACTCACTTCAACTGGAAATGCAGGAACTCAGCGCTTCTCAAAAATAAAACCCCAGGTATGTCAGATTGGGCTCTCAAAATCAGTTCTGGCCCAAGTGACTTATTCACGATGTGGCTTTGGCTAAGTGCCGGAACTGGAAACAGAAAATGAGTTTCCAGATCTGCAGGCTCACGGTCTAGTCACTAGCCATGATGCCTTTTGAGTCTTCTTTGCCATTCTGAGAAACCAAACATTAAAATAGGGGTCATAAACCATTAACCTATTTTGTGTACAATATTTAGAGAGCCTCTAGACCTGGTTCCCAAAGAAGTAGCATTAAGACTTGTCTTGTTCCTTCTGAACAAGTGTTATGATAGCGGACTCTGATTAGGTAACAGGTTTTGATTAAACCATCAATATTTTTACATAGCAGATAAACCTAAGACACGAGCACTCTCAGTCATATGGCATAGAAAAAGTTACAGAACTATTTCAGATAAGTTCTTTGGAAGAGATGCCTATATTTAAGGGTTTGGCATGACAATTTAAAAAAAAAATAAATTTAAGGCCACTAATTCTGCCAGATGAAAACATGTATTATAAATGTTGTTAAAAGATTGATCAATGCTAATTCGAATAGAGCAACAACCAAGTTCTCAGAGGAAATGCCCTAAAAATATTTTGGCAAGCAACACAGGGCTTCTGTATGAGACACAAAATAAGAATGGATAAATATTTGGGGGGGGGGGGGGGGGGGGAGAGAAAGAGAATCAGATTTAAATCAAAGAACAAACAAACCTATATTAAATAAAATTTGAAAATCTGACAACCTACATTAAGGCCTTAACTTAGCATACTCTATTAAAATCATTTAAATTAAATTTTAAAAAAAACTAATCTTCAAGTGATGCCAAAAGGTTTAAAGAAAGTCAAAACACTGAACCAATGAAAGTCACTGGCCAAGTACCTGGAACTAGAATTTGTTGAAGTGCAAAACCTGCTTTTGACAGCAGCAGCCTTTTCTGCAAGGGCAAAAATAATGTTTTCTATATTTGTTTATTCCACTAGTTCAATTAACAGTTCATTTAACACTGAGAAACTGACTGGGAGCTGGAAAAGCAGGAAAACTTATTTTTCTCTTCCAATTTATGAATAAATACTAGGTCAGAGAGGTTGAGCTCTACTAGTCCTAAAGTCTTGAAAAATATTGTGACCAGAAACATTCAATTCACTATCTACAGACCAGAATTCCTTTGCTTAATAAATCAGTTTTAATTTATCAATAAATGTTTTCCATTTATTTTTTTCTTATGTATCCAACACAGTTAAGGTAGTTTTATTTAACTAATAAAAACAATTTTAAAATGCTGGTTTTGTGCATTGTAATTTAATTCCAATTTCCATCCAAATGCAGCTTGACAATTCACAAGTAATACAATGAATCACCTAGTAAATAAGAAATATCATTCACCATTTTCTAACATAATAAAAAGTGTAAAAATTTAAGAATCTGTAACAAACCTTTATAAACTCCATAAGTATTTAAATAAAGGGGCACAGCTATAGTGTATCCTCAAAATTAGAACAAAGAAGTAGCTGCCAGAGTTTCCAGCCAATAAAAGCAGAAGCAGCCAAAGCAGTGACTCCTGTATTGGAATGAGGGGGTAAAATGGGGCACAGCCAGGGTCACCTTTCTCCCAGCATTCCCTTGGATCCAGAACTGTACAAGGGATAGCACCCTCACTCTCTTGGCACTAAGACCCAGGTGGTGCTGTGCCTTGCCGTCCCTCACCCCCACGTGATCCAACCTTGGGGGGGAAACTACAGAGAGACTCCAGCAAGTAAGAACAGAAGCAGCCTATTCAGGGATTCCTGGACATTCAGAGACATTTCTATATATGGCGGGACTTTCTCCATCCTGTACTGATTGGGTGCTTGATCCAACCCCCCCGCCCCATCTTTTTTCTCCTGCCCAGTTCCCTTCAATCCCTTTCCCTGTAACTAATCCCCTCCTAAGCACCCATCTCACACACAGCCCCAAAAAAGAATCATGGCACTAACATGACATCAGCCAACATAACATGTTTACTCTGCTTGTCTGTTCTACTCTCTTAACCCACACTCTGCCTGTCTTGTCTATTTAGATTGTAAATTCTTTGGGGGCAGGGACCACTCTGTTTGTACAGTGCCTAGCACAATGGGGCCCTGTTCTTGGTTGGTCCTTAAGCACTACTGTATTAAACATGATTAATTATAGAAACCAATGAAAATCAACCTCTCTTTAGGAAAATAAGTACAAATGCAAAGCAAGATGGAAACTGTTCATTTAAATCGTGATTAGAATTAGTGATTTAAAATTGGTCCACCTTGCTTGCTCACATACATTTATATATTTGTACACAGTATTTATAACTACCAACCCGCATGTCACTAATCACTGTAACAGTGTATTACAAGGATCAGCAACCTTCGGCCTGCGGCCTGCCAGAGTAAGCCCCCTGGTGGGCCGGACTGGTTTGTTTTCCTGCCGCGTCCACAGGTTTGACGGATTGCAGCTCCCACTGGCAGTGGTTCACTGCTCCAGGCCAATGGGGGCTGCAGGAACTGGTGGCCAGCACATCCCTCAGCCTGCATTGCTTCCCGCAGCCCCCATTGGCCTGGAGCAGCGAACCGCAGCCAGTGGGAGCCGCGATCCGTCAAACCTGCGGACACGGCAGGAAAACAAACCGGTCCAGCCTGCCAGGGGGCTAACTCTGGCAGGCTGCAGGCCAAAGGTTGCTGATCCCTTTTATAGAAGGGCCAAATCTTATATTATTAAAAAACAGATACTTCTCAAAGCAAATCATTTGAGGTTATAGTGTTCATAAATAAGAATCTCTTTGAAAAGGAAAAAAGTGAGTAACAAATCTAGAGACAAAACTGTTTCATTTTGGATTTAATTACACGGAGCAAAGGATATATATACTTACATGGGCTGACATCTCTGTATCTATTTCGATTTCTGTTTTCTGGATATTTTGCAACTCTATGAGGATAGTCATTGGATTTACGCCGAATTTCCTTAAAATTACAAAAATAGAGTTTAGTAATCTCCTCAATTCACTCTGAGGAACATTCTGCACAGCAAAAAAAAGTATTTTAAAAAATCATATTATAGTTTATCAAGGTTCACCTTTGCTCAGGACTTCATTTGTGCCTGGCATTTAGAACTATCAGCTTCTTACACTACTCTAGTCAGTTAACACTGCAGAGACAGCATAGACAATTTGGTGAGTATTTCACATGACATGAAACAAGGGAGGATAAAGGATTTGGCATGGCTATGCTCTTTGCATATGTCTTCATATGGTGTCTCCCATGCCAAAATGGGACTTAAATAGGTCTAATACTGTTTTACAAAATGTTCCCTCTGCACCATGAAGTGCCTGTGAAATCCAATACAGCTCCTCTCTTTTGTCAAGACAGATAGTGCTTGGCGATTTCAGCATCAAACAGATAACTCTGAGTTATCTCCTGATTTGTAGCTGTGGTAACAACCGTGGGACTATTCCAGTGGTCTGATAACTCACACAGCTGACCACATCCAGGGTCTGTTTGGAATGGAACAAAGGCAATTAACTCCATCAGCGAGAGGTCACGACACACCATCCCAAGAACAGCAAGGGATATATTTTGAGGGTCTGCTCTCAGAAGTTCCTAGAACAAGTACATTTCCAGAGTGTTCTGAGAGACAATACTATTTAACAGACTAAAAGAATGGCGAAGTATGATAGTGTGAAGGGATGGAGAAGGGGTTTTAGCGATCAGCCCTTGACTAATGACAGTGGCTTCTAAATATAGAATTTCAGAAACGTAGGGCTGGAAGAGACCTTGAGGGTCCATTCAGTCCAGCCCCCTCCACTGAGGCAGGCCCTAGTATACCTAAATCATCTCTGACAGGCGTTTGTCTAACCTGTTCTTAAAAATCTTCAATGATGGGGATTCCACAGCCTCCCTTGGTAACCTATTCCAGCACTTAACTTTCCTTAAAAGTTAGATATTAGGAAAAAACTTACTAACCCACATCCTCCTTGTTGCAGATTAAGCTTATTATTTCTTGTCCTACCTTCAGTGGACATGGAGAACAATTGATCCTCATCCTCTCTATAACAGCCCTTAATATATTGGAGACTTATCAGGTCACCCCTACAGTCTTTTTTTTCCAGAAGAAATATGCTCACTTGTTTAAACCATTCCTCATAGGTCATGTTTTCTAAATCTTTTATCATTTTTGTTGCTCTCCAATTTTTCCACATCTTTCTTAAAGTGAAGTGTCCGAAATTGGATACACTACTCCAGCTGAAGCCTTCCCAGTACTGAGTAGAATGGGACAAATATTTCCCATGATTTCCATATAATACTCCCGTTAATATACCCAGAAAACTCCATCTCACTGTTGGCCCATATTCAATTTGTGATCCACCTTTTCAGCAGTACTATCACCTAGCCAGTTACTTCCGATTTTGTAGTTTTGCATTTGATCTTTCCTTCCTAAGTGTAGTACTCTGCCCTTGTCTTTTCCCAATTTCGTCTTGTGGATTTCAGACCGATTCTCTATTTTATAAAGTCATTTTGAATTCTAACCCGGTCCTCCCAAGTGCTAGCAACCCCTCCCATCTTAGTGCCATCTGCAAATTTTATAAGTATACTCTTCACTACATTAGCCAAGTCATAATGAAAATGTGGAACAAGTACCCGGCCAAGGACAGACCTCTGTGGGACCCCACTGAATATATCCTCCCAGTATGACAGTGATCCATTGATTACTTCTTTGAGTACAGCCTTTCAACCAGATATGAACCCACCTTATAATAATTTCAGCTAGAACACATTTCCCTAGGTTGCTTATAACAATGTCATGGAAGACCAGATACATCATGCCTACTGCTCCCTCCCCTCCACATCCACTAAGCCAGGAATCATGACAAAGAAAGAAATTAAGTTGATCTCATGATTTATCCTTGAAATCTATGCTGGCTATTTCTTATAACGGTATTATCCCCTAGGTGCTTACAAAAATTGTTTAATAACTTGTTCCAGGTATGGAAGTTAGGGAACAAAGAGGACCTGGGGTATAAACTGGTCAGCCTTTTTTAAAAGAAAGGTACGATGTCTGCCCTTCTCCAGTCCTCCGGGATCTCCCCTGTCCTCCATGAATTCTCAAAGACAACTGTTAACAGTTCCAAGATTCCTTTAAGTACACTCAGTGAACTTTGTCAGGCCTCCCAACTTAAATATATCTAACTTAGCTAAAATATTCAATCTGTTCTTTCCCTATTCTGGCTTGTTGTTAACACTAACTGTGTTAAGCATCTGGTCACAACTAACCTTTAAATAAAGTCTGAAGCAAAAGAGGCATTAAATTCTTCAGGCCTTCTTGATATCCGTTATTAGACCTGCTATTTAGTCTCACTAAACAGTGGGCTACACTTTCCTTCATCCTCCTCTTGCTCCTCAGTAATAAGAGATTCTGTAAATATATGTCTTTCATGTCCTTTGCTAGGTGTAACTCATTTTGTACCTTAGCCTTTCTGATTTTGTCCCTATATGCTTGTCCTATTCATCTGTATTCATCCTTAGCAATTTGTCCACGCTTCTATTTTTTTTTTTTTACTCCTGGGGAAATTCTGCACCCCTGCACAATGCAGAATTTGCGCAAATTTCACGTTTCCACTATAGGGGCTGTGTAGCTGCTGACAGCCATTAGGGGATGCTGGACTCTGCAGAGCCCAGCTCTCCAGATTGTAGTGAGTGGAGTGCCCAGTCTAGTAGGGATGGAGGCTCTGCACACTCTGGCTACCTGGCTTTATCCTCATCCGCCCCAGGACAGGAAAGAACCCAGGAGACCCGGCTCTTGCAAAGGGTGAGAAAGGGCAGGGCAGCACCACACCACATCCCACACCACAACAGTAAAGAAGCTTGGGTGGGGAAGAGTAAAGGCTCTGAGGGGAGGAAGGAGGGTGTCTGGACTCTGGGGATGCCCTGCAGCTGAGTTCTGAGGGGGGGGAAGGGGTGCCCCACAGTTGGGCTCTGGGGGGAGCAGGTACGGGTGTCTGGGTTGGAGGGTGCCCCATGGCTTGGCTCTGGGGGGCCCCAGGCAGCTCCCTTCAGTACCCCTCAACTGGAACTGGGTTGTCATAGGGTTGGTTTTTTTAAACTCTCTATTCCTGAGGGAATTTTTTTTTTTTTAAATCTGTATTGTTGACAGGTAGTTTAAAATAAATTAACAAAATTGAAACTGGAATGATTATGTTGTGTTATTTTGACAAATAAACTACATAGAATTTTAAAATATTATGCGCATAATTTTTAGGTGCATAATTCCCCCAAGAGTAACTTTTGTAAGATTCCCTTTGATTTCTGATGATTAAAGAGCTCTTGATGGAGCCACATAGGCCTCTTACTATTCTTCCCATCTTTCCTCCTCTTCTGGTTAGTCTCCTATATGTCTTTAATATAGGGGTGGGCAAACTACAGCCCAGGGGCTGCATCCGGCCCTTCAGACATTTTAATGTGTCCCTTGAGCTCCCGCCAGGGAGCAGGGTCCGTGGGCTTGCCCAGCTCTGTGCATCCTGTGGCGCCGCGTGGCTCCTGGAAGCAGCAGCATGTCCCCTCTCCAGCTCCTACATGCAGGAGCAGCCAAGCGACTCCACACGCTGCCCCCACAGATCCCACTGGCCGGGAACCATGGCCATTGGGGGCTGCAGGGGCAGTGTCTGCAGACAGGGCAGCGTGCAGAGCTGCCTGGCTGTGCCTCAGCATAGGAGCCGGAGCAGGGGACATGTTTCTGCTTCTGGGAGCTGCTTGAGGTGAGCACCGCTGGGAGCCTGCACCCCCTCCCAAGCCCCATCCCTGCCCTGATCCCTCTCCTGCCCTCTGAACCCCTTGGTCCAGCCTGGTGCATCCTCCAACACCCCAAACCCTCATCTCAGAGCCCTCACCCACATACACCTCCACCCCCAATTTCGTGAGCATTCATGGCCTGCCATACAATTTCCGTATCCAATGCGATGCTCGGGCCAGAAAGTTTGCCCACCCCTGCTTTAATATCTCTAAGTGCCAGCTCTCCTGACTTTTTCCTTTAGACGTTCTTCCCAAGAACTTACCTACCAGTTTTCTGAAGTCTGGCTTTTTGAAATTTATTGTCTTTTTTCTGCTACTCTCATTCCTCCCTCTCCCTAGGAATCATTGATTCTATCACTTTCACCCAAATTGCCTTCTACCTTCAGATTCACAACCCGTTTCTCCCTGTTGGTCAGAATCAAGTCTAAGATGCCTGCCTCCTCGGCTTACTTCCTCCACTGTCTGAAACAAGAAATTCTACCAACGTGTTCCAAGACCTATTATAAGCTGTATCTGTGCCAGTCCCCAGCTTCATCCTCCAAGGCCAGCTTCATCTAATACAGGCAAATAGAAAAGATGGCTAGAGTGCCAGGCGTCTGCTGAGTTTGACTAACTGCAACAGAGACCTTTTTGTAGTCTTTCTGTACTTGTATCTGAGAAGATAAAGAAAAGTTTTACACTGTACAATAGCACCTTGTCAAGTCTTCTCTCCTTCCTTCACATCAGTGATGCTGCTACTTCTGACAATAAACGTCCCACAGGACTCAAAGAATATTCTCCCCTTTTTTTCTCTCCAGCAATGCCACTGCAGAGGTCCCGACTATTGTTTGCCTTGACTATTATAATCTCCTCATGGGCTTCCTTCAATCTACCATCTGCATCATCCTCATTACAAAAAAGCCCACTCTCGTCAAATCTCTTCAAATTGTCTTCACTGTTCTTCCTGAAAACAGGTATAATCAGAGAGGATTTCTATGGCACTATAATCTAAAATGAACTTGGATCCTGTTGTTAGATATGAATATTGTCACTTTTATTGAAATATCATTACATATAAACAAATTAATCATTTATGCATTAAAAAATCTGTGAGGTAAGTGTTGTGGAGTTTCCCATAAAAATAAATATATTATTCTCTTTTTTTTTTTTAAAGTGTCTCTCTCAAAAAGTTTAGTGCACATTTTAAATTGTATACACATAGCTTACTGACAATTTTGGAGCAACTCAACCTACCAGAGATACAAGAGTTAAAAACAACAAAAGTATCCAAAAGAAACCTCTCATCGGAATGCATTACTTTAAGCTCTTCTCTCTCAGTATGCATGTTTACATACAAAACCCTCTGATTTGCCACAGAGGTTAAACCAGCAAGGGATATGACTACAATGACCCAAAATCTGTTGGAGGAGAGTTTCTCGACAAACACTGGCAAGTCCATGGAATTGGAGGACTCACTCTACAAGGAAGGAGACCCCACCTTTTTTCGCCTATTGAATTTTTCCTCGAGAATTTCCTGAGCATAACTTGCAGTCTTCCTTGCCTCCAGTATTCATTACCCATCTATATGGGGAGGCTTGCACCAGCGCTCTCCCAACACTGGAAGAAAACCACCCCCACAAGGGGAGTAGCTCCCAGAGCTGGGTGCACTGTCTACACTGGCATTTTACAGCACTGAAACGTGCAGCACTTAGGAGGATGTGCGTGTGTTTTTTCACACCCCTGAGCAAGAAAGTTGTAGTGCTGTAAAGTCGCTGTGTAGACAAGGCTTTAGACAAGTCACATTCACCTGGTGCTGCTTATTCCTCATTTGTAAAACAGGCCTAACATCTAATAACTCTGTGGGGTGTGATGCCAGCTAGATGAGCAACGTTTGTAAAGCTATTTTATAAAACCTTAACTCGAAGGATAGGAGTGCAAATTATTAATCACTACTATTTTGGCAAAAATAAACGTAGTAGCTCTGACTCAGGTGACCCAACATATGAAAGGCAGTTACTACACATCATGCAACTTCTGGTGACATAACGTGTGAAGTGGTCTTGCCATTAGATCTTCACAAGCAATTAACGCTGCCAGAATATTGGCGCTACGCTGCGAACAAGGGACTAGCAGGAATGCCCCAGCACCACTGCAAAGCTGGCGGCAGCCGCCGCAGCCCTCTGCTCCCTCGCGAGTATCTCACAGATATTGCTTTATCCGCCTGCAGAACGACACCCAGGACGAGAGGAGTCCGCAGCGTGCGAAGGGCAGAGGGGAGGCCGGAGGAGCAGCCTGACAAACACACTGAGGCACGGCTTCAGCAGGCAGCGCCCCAGAGGCCGGACTAGGAAGCGGGGGCGCCGGCAGGCGAGAACTCATCGTTGCGCGTGCGCATTTTCAATGCTGCTCTACCCGCACTTCATTCAACACGCGCCTCATCCACTCACCCCCACCCCTCGTACTTGACGCACGCGTGCTCCCAACAGCCCTGTGCACCTCCTCCCATCTCCTCATGGAGCATGCGCACTTCCACGGCGCTCCTCTCCCCCCGCCCCTTCTCGGAACATGCGCAGTGTCTCCCGGCGGCTTGGTGCTGGCGCTACCGCGCGCACCTGAAATCAAGCCGTGGCCCAACGACTTCCGTTTCCCAGTGTAAGACAAGAGCCTCGCGTGCCGCCCGTCTCTCCCTCCCCTCCCCCAGCCCTCGATAAAGGGAGTCCCTTGTTCACTCACAAAGTAGCGAGCCTGCCAGTCGTTAGCAGTGTCGATCTCCTGGAACTCCTGCTCTATGGAGGCTGCCATGGTCGCGGCCGGAGCGAGGGTGGCCGCTGGAGTCCTGCAGGCTCATAACCTCTCGCTGGCTCGCTCGCTCCGCCCAGAGCACGAGCGGCGGCGAGCGCAAGTCCCAACTCGCCGCGCGCTCCGTCTTTGCCTGCCTCACAGTCCGCCGCGGCTCGCTAGTCGCCACCGCCGCCGTCATGCGCATGCGCGGTCGCAGCCAACCAGCCTCCGCCTAGCCGGGGCAGTCGACACCCCACCCCAGGGAAAGCACCTGGGTTGACGTCACGATACGTTCTGGGCCGGGGTGGGGTGGGCTGGGGAGAGCGCAGAGGTGGGGAGGGGGTGGGACCGCCAGGGGGCTCCCTGCCCGCCCCTCTGTGAGTGGGGGAAGAACGGCGGGGGGAGAGGTTGCGGAAGGACCAGAGCCCCGCCCCTCTCCGCCTGTACCGCGGCCGGGGTCTCCGCTAGTCCGCTGGGCTCGGAGTCCTGAGACGCCTGACTGGCTGACAAACCCCCACCAGCGAAGGCGGCGCGGCGGCTGCCCAAGGGCGCGCGCGCTGGCGCTGGATAATGCTCAACCGCCAAACAGCGGAACGTGCCGAGCGAGCGGCGCCCGCGTCACCTTAACTCTGCCCTGTGGGAACGCGGCTCAGGCCCGGCCCCACGTGTGTCCTCTGCCTTTGCCGGCAGGGCGTGTCCCCCGGGGAGCACAGCAAGGGGCCACTAGCGCAAAGTCAAAAACCTCTTTGCTGCGGCGGGGAGCCATTTGAGTGAGCTGCTCTGACCGCCAGCAGCCTGCACCTGCCTTGCATTCAAACACTTAGCCCAGTCTGCAGAAATGCTGGCATGCCTGGTCATTTTACAGCCTCTTTATGCACAAAATGCCCTCTGACCTTTCTTTTCACTTACCCATCAGTGCATCTGCAGGTTGCTCTCAGATCTCACCTCTGTACTGACAGTCCCCTTGGCAAGATCATTCCTGTACACAGGTACTGATTTAATCCTCAGAAGTCAGCACTGAAATGAGCCAATATCTCAAAGTACACTTGCACATCTTTCCTTAGATCACACATGCTGAGGAAGCAGGGAGTGGGTGTCAGACTCTAAGAGAGGCAGGACTCCCAATCACAGCTATGCCAAGCTAATGCCAATTAATCCTTTAATCATTCAATACAGCTACGGTGTATGCAGATAATTTCCAAAGGTTATTATCAGCTCCAGGGGGCTAGAGCAGGTGTGGGCAAACTTTTTGGCCCAAGGATATAGAAATTGTATGGCAGGCCATGAATGTTTACCAAATTGGAGTTGGGTGCAGGAGGGGGTGAGGGTGAGGGCTCTGGCTGGGGCTGTGGGCTCTGGGGTGGGGCCAGAAATGAGTTCAGGGTGCGGGAGGGGGCTCCATGTTGGGACCAAAGGCTTTGGTTGGAGGGCAGGAGGGGGATCAGGGCACGGGATTGGGGTACGGGAAGGTGGCTATGGGGTGCAGGCTCCGGGCGGCACTTATCTCAAGTGGCTCCCAGAAGCAGTGGCATGTCCCTTCTCTGGCTCCTACATGGAGGTGCGGCCAGGCAGCTCTGCTGCTTGCTGCCCTGTCCACAGGTGCCACCCCTGCAGTTCCCATTGGCCGTCATTCCTGGCCAATGGGAGCTGAGAGGGCAGCGCTTGGGGTGGGGGCAGTGTGTGGAGCGGAGCCCTCTGGCTGTCCCTACGCGTAGGAGTCAGAGGGAGGGACATTCCACTGCTTCCAGAAACCGCATGGTGCGGCCCCCGACACCGCTCCTGAGCTGGAGCGCCGGAGTGGGGCAAGCCCCAGACCCGGCTCCCCAGTGGGAGCTCGAGGGCTGGATTAAAACAGCTGGTGGGCCAGATCCAGCCCATGGGACGTAGTTTGCCCACCCCTGGGCTAGAATTAAGGTTATGTTGGTGCATCCCTTCACTCTGTATTTCCTGGTTTTCAGAAGTTGAAGTTTGATTACCTACGCCAGTGTTTTGCAAACCGTGGGTCGTGACCCACTACTGGGTTGCAGCATGTAAGGCACTGGGTCACTTTTGTCTGGTCAGCACTGCTGACCGGGACGTTAAAAGTCCCATCAGTGGTGCTGCCCAGCTAAGGCAGGTTTGTGCCTCCCTTTTCCGACACTGTGCTGTGCCCTGGAGGCAGACAGCAACAGGTCTGGCTTCTTGGCAGGGGGACCACAAGGCTGCACATGCTGGCCCTGAGCACTGGCTCTGCACTCCCATTGTCCAGTACCTTGCACACCTCCACCTTGCATGCCTCCACCTAAGAGCCAGACCTGCTGCTATCCGCCTCCGGGGCACAGCACGGTCCATGGTGCACCCCAGCCGCGCTGCTGACCGGGAGCCGCCAAAGGTAAATCCACACCACAACCCCACACCCTAATCTCCTGCTCCAGCCCTGAGCCTCCCCCCACACACCTGGAACCCCTTTCTGCAATCCAAACCCCTCATTCCCAGCCCCACTGCAGAGTCTGCACCCAAAGCCCTGACCCCCTCCTGCACCCCAAGCCTCTGCCCCAGCCCTGAGCCCCCCCAAACCAGAGCCCTTCCTGTACCCCAAACCCCTTATTCCCAGCCCAGAGCCCTGACCCCCTCCTGTACCCCAACTCCTGCCCTAGCCCTGAACCCCCGTAGACCCAGAACCCCCTCCTGCACCCCAAACCTCTCATCCCTGACCCCAACCCAGAGCCTGCACCCCCAGTCCAGAGCCCTGACCTACTCCCACACCCCAACCCCCTGCCCCAGCCCAGAGCCTCCTCCCACACCCTGAACCTCTTATTCCCAGCCCCACCCCACAGCCCTCACCCCAACCCTCTGCCCCAGCCCTGAGCCCTCTCACACCCTAAATCCCTCATCCCCAGCTCTGTTAGGTTGCAGACATCAAGAATGTTCTTCAACTGGGTCCCCAGAAAAAAAGTTTGAAAACCACTGACCTAAGCTATTTCAGAGGTTTGAGTGTTCTGGAAGGGCACAAGATAACACAGGACAACCTTTACTCTGCCTTTTTTATGTTGGTGAATTTCCTATTTTTTTATGTAGCACACACTCTCACACACATACACATATTAATTTTGTTATTGTGCACTGGTAATCAAGGTCATGCTTCACATTTTTGTGAAGCGTAAGGTTGCTGACAGAGCAGGGAGACAAAACACAGACATGGTTTATTTCACCATGTATAGATGTTTTTGTTCCATCCATATAGGTTTGTAGAAAGTATAAGCTCATGTACGGAAACTGGTGTATCTGTCTGTATAAGGGACTAGGTGTAGATGGTCTGACATAGGGTCATAGCTGGGCTGGTGTGTCCACAAGTCAAGTAGTTAGCAAGCAGGGATCAGAGTAATCGATAGAGCCAGGATCAATAGGCCAGAATCAAAGTCAGAGTCAGGCTTGGTCAGAGACCAGAGATAGTTAACAGGCTGGAATCATGAGGCAAGAGAGAGGATCATGGGCTGGAGATCAGAAAGCCCAGGAAACTTCTTACACCACCATCCAGGGTTAAATAGTGACCAGGGGCCTATCAGAAGACCACAGGGTGCTGTTCCTCTAGTCCCTTTGGGCGGTACTTACTGTGGCACATAATCTCCTTGGATGTGGCTCTTCACAGTCTGCTGCTGGCAATGTGGGAATGTCAGCTGACCCAAGCTCTGCAAACCTAGATTCTAGCCTCATGGATCTTTACAGTCTACTTCTCAGCTATCCCCAGCAATTTATAGCACCACCACCACCATTCTCTACTAATCCTCCTTTCACAACCCACGAAAGGATTAGCTGTTTAAAAAATATTTCTTGCTCTCTTGCACCCTCTGCTGCTGCATATACATATTACAGACAATAGCTTAGTAGAGGGTCCCACACTTTCTTGTGTAGGTCAAAGTATAAACCCAGTCAGGTCCCCCATCCCCAAGCAGGGTCTTCACCTCAATTTTGGCCAGCACCCCTACCTGAGTATCTTGGATTGCTGATCCAGCCACCCCACACCCTATGTGTGTGACCCTTACTGGCACTCCATCCTGTTCCTCCTCACCTGGGCCCCTTGCCCCAATGCCAGCCATCCACCACTCAGGCAGATCCATTGCCCACACTCCAGCCAGCTCCTCCACCTCAGATGTGACTTTTGTCCCCCTCAACAGTCTGAACCACCCACCAGCCTGGTAAGCCACCTCCTCAAACTGTGTCTGGCTCCAATTTGTTCCGTCCCCATTCAGCCTCTCAACACTGGCTGGCCCTCTCCAGCCAGGCCCTTGACTCCTCACAGATGGGCTTCCATTTGCACACAGTGCTCATACTGCAGAACCAGAAATGTGCTGCTGTCTGGTGGTTTAGCATGTACCTTGTTACAGTGAATTATTTTGTTGTAGCTTCCCCCACACACACCACACTTACCTCACTGTATAAAATTTAGTGTTTGATTTCATGTCATTTTTCCTACGCTAGCTTTAGTTACAACACTCATTTCCCCTCCCTTTCCCCGCCCTCAACTGAAGTGCCTGGTAGCTGGTTTTGCAGTTCAGGGCAACTGCACCCTTATTCTCCTTCCGTAATCCCTTGATATCGCTTGCTCTAAGCTTCCGGCTTCTCAGCCATTACCCTCTCTTGGGCAGAGACTGCACCTCTCTCCCTCGTATCTGGGATTTTCTATGCTGTACAATTCCCTGTATGCTGTAATATCCCCAGCAAGACAGACAGCCTAAATTGCCAGCATCTGCACTTCGCTTTCTCTCTAGAGACTTTGAACAGCATAATTGCCAGGATTATAAATTATCACACAGCTCCTTATGAACAAGCACATTTATTTTTACGGGGAAACCATTACAGAGAACATATACTTAAACAATCAGAGAACCTACAGGCATGCTAAAAACTTACCAGAGATCATCCCAACTCCAACCTCGGACTCTCATAGGCGTCAGTCCTTCAAAACACACAGGTGGGTTTCGCCTATGGTTACAAGGTCATAACTGTCTCAGATTCAGAACCAGAACCACCATGAATAATTCAGTCCTTCCTTTATACAGCTTGGGCCTTTGATCTTGGCCTCATGTAACACATGATCAGCAGAGAAAGGCCCACTCTTCAGGCTGGGGTTTTGCATAACCAGGGGAGGGCATTTGCATGCACTGCCCCAAGATATTCCCCAGGAAAACTACTTAACATTTTTTGTTCCAAAAGTCTGTTCTTGTCTG